TAGTCGCCCAACAAAAGGAAGGATTTTCCAGCTTTGGTACAGTTGGGAATTGGACTATATTTCACTCAATACAACTTGAAATTGAGAATGGCCGGTGGCATTTGAAACTAGATTCAAAAGGATACATTTCATCAGAACAAATCATTCTGAAATTCAGTTTGCAAATGAGAGAAAATAGAACCACAATTTGCAGCTTCTACTCTTCTCTAGGTTGAACAGTCATACAGGACAGCCGACTTTGATCAGTCACTGTAGATGACTCGGTTCGAATTAAGGTGAATTTTATACCGTTAGAAAACTACGGATGTCTAGTTTTGAATGCCACTGACGGCACTCAATTCTGACTTCCGGACAGAGAGATATGTTCATTCAAAGAACACTGCCAGTGGACCACTGCTACACGAATTTTTCAGATTTGTTCTTGCCAAAATTCAATTTTTATCCAACCAATTCAAATGTTTTTTGGTAGAAACTTTCTATACACCATACACAACATATATACATCAGTTTCAAAGTCATTTGAGTATCAAAAATTCAAACTAAATGCACGGCAATAACAGGATAGATTTCGATCAGCAACCATGCGAAATTTTCCTTCAACTTTCCTTCGATTCTCTATCCATAATCATCTTAAACAACACTTAAACAACTCAAATCAAGCATTATATCATCATATCTGCCCATATAACAAGGTGAAAATTCGTAGAGCCCACATCAACCATTCCAACCCAAGTAACAACAACAATAATGAAGCTACAAGTTTTAAAGCTAAGAATAAAACCCATTAAAGCCAAGAGTGAAAGATTGGATGGTGTTGGATGGTTACCTCCTAGCTTTGAGAGAAACCAGAATTCTTTTATCACTAAACCTCCAAGAAAACCGCCAAGATGAAGTCTTTCTTCTAGCTTAAGTGAATTCCCAAGTGATTTTGAGGTCGGATGGTGATTTATGAAGGATTTGGAGCAAGAATTGAAGCGGAATGGTGAAGAGCTTTTCTTCTTCTTCTCCTTGAAGAGTTTCGGCCAAACTTGGTGAGAGGAGAGAGAGAGTGTGCTGATGAATGAAGCTTCTTGGAGAAGCTTGAATGATTTGTGGTTAAAATTTGCACAAAAGTTAACGATGAATAGTACTCGCGCGCGCGCGTTTCGTGTCCGTTTTCTCTCGGGGTTGTTTCACTTGTGCACTAAACCTCTAATGTACTTTCTTTAACAATATAATTATTCACTCTTATTAGTCTAGAATAAATTTCTTAAATCTCCATCGGGTCTATTTGAAGCGAAAAAGCGAACTTCCGATTCACGCGCAATAAAGCGAAATTCAAAAGAAATTCTTGTAACGATAATATAACTCACTAATACTAGGGTAAATAATTCTAAAAATAACTATTTTTAAAATAAAAACATGAGTCCTCACAAGTATTAATTTCTCAAATCTCCAATTAGTTTGTATAGGCGCAACTTTTGGGAAACTTTCGACGCACTTACGGTATAAACTTAAATTTTTAACTCACTCACCTCCAATCCATCAATTAACTTTTTTTAGTCTACTATTACTGATTCTTAATTCGCTAGGATTATTGCACTCTCGATTCAAATATTATCTCGAAAAACATATATTCACTATTTCTTATTAAACGAGCCTCCAAAAAATTAAATTTGCTAATGGGATGTTTTAAAATATAAGTAGGACAGTATTCCATGTAAATGGTTTTAAAATGGTTGAAATAAATTATTCGGAGAAAACAGGTGAATAAATAATTAAATAAGCCAATAAAATAGAATTAAAAGTAAGAAAAAATTCGGGTCCTCACAAAAAAAATCTACCAATAATTTACAGATCCTTTGGAGTTTGGAGAGAGTAAATCAAAAAACAGAGGTGCTGAACCAACGGCTACATCTACAACTATGAAGATAGGACCCTATCAATTGCAACCACATAGAACTCCTTGGGCATGGTATCGATAACGTACACATTCACGTTTCTCACCATTCTTGAACAACAAGACCACTGGTACAGCCTTAGTCTCATAGTACTCAGCAATTTCCAAGTCATCATCCGCACAAAGCATTTCAATGTGCCGGTATAACTTTACGCCACTGTTTTAAGATCAGTTTGTCCCATGACTTACCAGTGACCACCGTAGCTGCAGGTTACAAAAGAAAAGAGTATGTTTAACTCTAAGCACCCATTTCTATATTTTCATGACAACCATCCAACACTCTTAGAATGCGAATTGAAGGTCAACGATAAATCAACCATGGAATTGCATTCTTAAAGGTAAAGGTCATGAACAACCAACTATTTCTTGGACCATGTATAAAATTTTTTGTAGTTAATTTATTTAATATTGCAAGTTTATTATAGTCAATAATTTTGCAAAACATCTTATTAACGAGTGTGTTTTTATGAGATCTAGATATTATGAGAAAAATAAAGCATATCATATTTTTTTACAATTTAAATTTTGAGACTAATGTTTTTCTACACTAATCTAGCTTTGAATATATTGGGTGGTTGAACATATTGGACCACTGCAAATGAATCGAGTCAACTTACAAGTGTAGTTAACACTCGAATAGAGCTTGAATAGCCTGAGTAAACCTTTGAGTCGAATTAGATTCCAAAGATAGTCAATTCAAAGGCTCGCAAGACTAATAGTCTTAACTTATTTTATTTTTTATGTTCATGATATTAGCTAGAGGTGGCAATTTGTCTCAAGTCCCAATGGGTTACCCATGCCCATGGGGACTTTGGGCGGGATAGGTACTGGAATTTGATATTGGATTTAAAATGGGACAAATCTCAATTGTACCCATTAATTGATGGAAAATTTTGGGAAATACTTGGGTACCCATTGGGCTCAAATAGCAAGATTTAAAAATTATCTTTAACAATTTTTATAGTCATACCAGCGAATATAATCTAGCAGTCTTCCTAGTCATTATCCACAAGAATTTCCAGCATTTCAATCAGTTTAGACTTGTCATCCTTGAACAATGATAAGCATAAATATTCAACACCCTAAATGCCTTGGCCATCTTGATATATGTTGGAATATGGCTGTTTATCTATCTTTTCCTTTATTTGTTAATCCAATTTTTGGTGGGAATCCTGAGTATAAAGCACTTGCATGTTTATTTAATAAAACTAAAAGAAATTTAATAAATAAAAAATATTAAAGTTATATAAAAAATTAAAAATGAATTAAAGGAAAAAAATATGTAGAAAATAGATTTGGGTATTGGGCGGGATCAATCTAAACCCATCCCAAAGTGATCCCGTCCAAATTAATTTCAAAACACATATGGGTAAGGTTGAGTCCAAACCCATATGACTCGATTCCATCTCAAGTCCAAGTAAATCCCGCCCATCCCGCCCGTTTTGCCGCCTCTAATATTAGCATAGTGTCTATTTTATTCATTTTAAAATATTAAAATTATTTTATTCATTGCGCCTCTAATTTATATTCAATAATTTGATTCTAATCTAAGAGGCTAAAGGTAGAAGAGATGCTGCAACTACACAACACTTAGAAGATCAAGGGGAAGAATCTTTTAATAAATGCACAAACAAGAAGTTACTAGTCCTGGATGACAAGAGAACAAAGAAAGACATAGGCCATGTTTGATAATCTAATTCAACACTTAATTTAATGGATTTAGATGGTAATATATTCAAATCATTTGATAACCAAAAATTGAACACTTGAATTAATTAAATGGCATTGAATTTTCTGGGCAAAACTTGCTCTCAAAATTAAGTGATAAATAACTTATCACTGAATGTGATATACACTTAAATGTGTTAGATTTAATACTTAATAATTCAATAATTTAATATATTCAGATTTCAGATTTTAGTTTTGAGACTTTAGTTTTATCAAATAGATCCTTAGTTTAGTTTTTTTTTTAAAAAAAAAATATTCCCAAGGGCTTTCCATGCATACAGGCTTTTACTTTTGGCAAATGGGATACCGAGTTGCGTCAGCTTGGCAGTCTACAATTTTAAAAAAAAATTCCCAAGGGTCAGTCGTGCTTAATAAGTACTACACGCATTATTATCATCAAATCAACGTTTGTGCGATTTTTTTTCCATTGATATTCTAAGAAATTAGTCAGGGTTTAATAATTTTAACCCATTTTAATATGAGATAATTTCAAAAACTTCCCTTGAAATTTCTGACTATTTAACAAGCCTCCCTTTAGATTTTAAAAATTATACTAACCTCCCGGTTAATTATCTTGTAACATTTAGAACTAATCGATAATTAAAAGGTAATAATCGAAGAGAAAAGATAATAATATGATTATAGCATTACCCTAATCTACAACATTATTTAATTAATTTAATACCAAAGCACACATTAAAAAAACTAAAATTTACAATTTATCATTAGGGATCAAACCACATATAGCATCAAAAAATAGTATATTATGTTATACTTTTCACTTAATATAAGATACAAATTATTTTTGTCAGTTATATACCCATTGTCAAATATCATCAACAACAAATAATAAAAAATTTGTAACCAGGAGAACAAACTTTAACATCATAAATATTCTTGTTAATATATTAAGGTTAGTTGCTGAAATTTTATGGTATTAAAGTTCACATTTTGTAATATTTTTGTTACAGATTTTTTTGATTATTTATTGTTGATGTTTGACGATGAGTTTGTAACTGAAAAGAGCAATTTAGATCTTATATTAAATAAAATATATAGAGTGATATACTTTTTTTATGCTATATGTGATTAAATCCATGATTATAACAAATTCTAGTATTTTTTTAATATTTAGGCGGGTATTAAATTAATTAAACAATTTAGTAGTTGAGAGGTAATAGTGGAATCATATTTTGTTTCTATTATAATATCACTTTTTTATTGTTGATTGGATCTAAATATTATAAGATAATAAGTCTTAAGGAGGTCACTATAATTTTTAAAATTTTTTTAAAAAAAAGCCAGTGAAATATTCAGAAACCTCAGGGGAGGATTTTGAAATTATCCCTTTTAGTGTACAACAATCCGTCCACATGAAAACCTCCGTATAGCGTTTATTTATTCAATCAAATTATCCCCGAGTATCAGACAGCCTTGACGCCTCTGTGTGACAAAAAGAAGAAATAATGGAGGGCGAGAATCCGCACGATGCCACCGAAACCCAACCCAGCAGCGACCGCATCAAGCTTAATGTCGGAGGCAAGCTATTCGAGACCACCACCTCCACTCTCCGCTCCGGTGGCCCTGACTCTCTTCTATCGCTGTTGTCCAACCGGTCGCTCCACCACCACGACCCGTCTCAACCGGTCTTCATAGATCGCGACCCTGAGATATTCTCTGCCCTCCTTTCTCTCCTGCGCTCCAACCGCCTCCCTTCTACAGCTAAACGCTTCTCCAACCAAGAACTCATCGACGAGGCTTCTTATTACGGGATTGAATCCCAATTAAAATCCGCTCTCGCTCCGTCTCCTCTAACCGGCATCGACGCCTCCCTTTTCACCACTATCCGCCCCTCTTCTGACGCCACGGTTTCTGATTTCAACGCCATCGACTCCGACGGCTCCGTCTGGGTCGCCCACGGTGGTCAGATTTCGGTCTACGATTGGAATTTAACCCACTCCGGGACCGTCAGGACCCATCTTGATTATATAAGTACAATTCGGAGGATCGGACCTGGAGTAGCCGCAGTGGGGTCGGAAACACTGGCGGGGCTTCATGTCTACAACACAGCGAGCGGATACCGGTCCTGCTGTGTCGACTGGGCGGACCCTACAGACCCTAGGATCTATAAGGCCCGAGTCAACGCGATCGCTGACTCGGACAACTCGGTCTTTGCTTCCTTCGATTGTCGGCACAAGGAGAATTGCGTTCTGATGATTGACAAGAACAAGTGGACGACGTTAGAGGTCGCGAGGCAGTCGGGGAGCTCTTCCAAGTCCATGGTTGCCGGAAAGCTGAAGTATGTGCCAAAGGCCGGAGTACTTGTCGGAGTTTCGGTGACGTCCGGAGCGTTTGGTTATTCGGGTTATATACGATTGTGGGACCCGAGGTCCAAGGAGGTGGTTTGGGAGACAAACGAGCCTGGTTCAGGTAGGAGCAGCAGGTTTGGGGACTCGTTTGCTGACGTGGATGTGGATGTGGACGAGTTGACACTGGTCAAACTGGGTTCTAAATCGGGGGATTTGGCCGTGGCAGACCTCCGCAAATTAAGCGAAGATCCATGGATTTATTTGGAAGAGAAGAACCCCAGGATGAGGATGATGACTGGTGGGGCCAGCAACGTGGGCAATTGTGTGATTAACTGTTACAGGAAACAGCTGTTCGTGGGTAGGGAAGGTGAGCTAGAGGTGTGGTCCACGGTGGAGGGAGATGGTGATCAGAATGTGGGTGGAGAGAGGATTCTATGTGAAGGGTCGTATAGGAGGAACTATGTGGATAAAGTGGAGGATTCTGAAAGAGGGGTTATAAAGAAAATTGAGGGTGGTGGGGATAGGCTATTTGTGATTCGAGAAGGCGTGGAGGGAATTGAGGCTTGGCAAAGTTCACGCTTTTCTGGTGTAGTTTCTTCCTCTTGATTAATGTAATGCTTTGGCCTCTTTCACCCTGGCCCTTATCCTTTCTTTGCGTTTTTATTCAACCTGCAAAGGCAAAAAATTATTGGAGGGTTCTTCTCAATCTTCTTCCAAGAAATCCAGGCAATCCAAGTATAGATTCTCTCTTTCAATTTTCGATTCCCTCTTTCTTTGTTTTTAAATTTTCTTTATTCAATTGCTTTACGGAGGAATTTATTCTTCTATTTTCTTTCTTTCAAATTTGTGGATGATTGTGGTTGATTATTTCTTAAAATGCATTTTTTTTTGGAATTTGTGGCCATTTTGATGATAACTGTTCGAGCAATTAGCCTCAGAATAGTAATGGAAACAAGAAATGGTTTTTCAGGAACTATCATGTGCCTGTATGACCATAATAAGAAAAATCTGTTTGTAAAAAGACAAAAAAGACAATAGTGCTTAAGTGCTACTTAGGATTCCCTTTATTGGTTCCTGATCATTACTTCATAAGTTTTGGCAATGCAGGGTGGTTAGTATTGGTAATATGCTTCTGAATTTTGAGATTTTATGAAAGCTCTTTGCGAGATCCCCCTTTCTATTTTTATTTTTATTTTTTTGATTGAGTATTCATATAGTTTAAAGCTGTGATTCATTGAATTGCATTAAAATTTCCATAAGAAATGATGATTTATGGTGAAAATTTGAGGATTTTTCTCTGGTTGCTTCATTGTTGCATCTGATCAATGTGCAATTTTATTTTCTGAATTCTGATTTTTAGCATGTAAAACTGATATCATTTTTTATGAATGATTAATTAATTGAAATAGCTTTTTTTTATATATCATCCCTGTTAATATAAGTATTCAATTGTTCCCACTTTGTTACACTTCAGATTCTAGGTTTACACAACAAGAACTTCCTGCATGCAAAGCAATATTAACTCCCGGTTGGTATGTTTTCTTGATATTCTGCAACTGGAATTTGATCTATGAAACTTGATCTTTTTCCTTTTCTGCTCTTTTCTGATTATCTTTTGCCTTATGTTGTTGTTTCAGGTGGTTACAACTTTTATACTAATAGGGTTTATGTTCATACTAAATGGTCTTGCCTCTTTGTCTGTATCAGAGGGGGTAAAGCTTTAGATGATCCATCTGCTAGTGTCTTTCAGAAAAGTAACCTTCTCAATTGGTCTGATATGCTATTGCTGATATATGGGTGATTGAAATTGTAGACCGCCATGGAGAAAACTGCATTCATTCAGAATGACAAGACCAACAAGGCTGTGTCAGGAGCTTGACAGAAGGTGCAACTTCTTAGTACTGATGTTTGCAGATACAACACAAAAAGAATTTGTTTCATTTATTCGACCCTCTTTCTCCAGCTCGAAAATATTAGTCTGCAAAATGTTTGTTTAGATCCCAAAGAAAATGCAGCAACCAGCTTATATCTATTACCAGATTGATAAATTCTATCAAAACCATTGTCTGTGTGTTTTGAAATGTCTCTTGGGTGTTTTTTCCACTGTTTTTGTGAAAACACTAGCATGCGAGGCTTTCTAAACCGGTCCAAATGAGTAATTTGTCTGAATTATGTGAAACTTTCCTGGAGATCAGAGTGGATTTTTATTTGATTCAGGTGGAGATGACTTGTTCTTCCAATTTTATTGATTCTCCAGATTCTGTAGTTTCATAGGTTTACTTGCAATCATGCTTTGCTTTTACTCCTGATATAGTTTAATTTGTGGGTGTGGAACTGCTTCTTTATTTGTGGCATTTTTAGTAGTTTTCCCGCTCATTGCCGTAACGGGAAACTCTGAATTAATAGAAAGCTAATTGCAAATTTGAGAGTTCTTGTGTGCTATACTGTTACTTGATTAACTGGTATCATCTTCACTTATTCAGAGCTCCCCTGAAATCTCACTCTCCTTTCCATCTTCTGATTGTTTATTACAAGCCAGTGTGATGTAAAGTGTCTGATTGCTTTTAATGCAGATATGTCAAAAGCACAAGTGACAAACAGTTGTGAAGCCCCAAAAAATGAGGATTTAACGTCGCCCTGTGAACCTGAAGCGCTCATTGATAATAAGCGCATTGTGCCTTGGTGCCCTTGTTACTGGGAGTATGTTCAATGATGCTCATGAATTCTCAGTTAAGGGCATGAATCTATCTGTAAACGAGAAAGATGTTGCATAGGACAGTAATAGGAACTATAATTTGGATCAAAAGTTTATCCTATAAGCTTTTAGCAAGGAAGCTTGATTGGAGGTGGAAAACCTGATGAGAAAATACCAGTTAACGCAGTCATCCCTTCCTTTTGTCTTTTTTCTGTCCCTCTTTCAAAATCTCTCCCTTTTACTTTTTCCTGTTTACCAATTCAAGTATTCATTTATTCTACTCTATTATTGGCTTGTAACAGTGAGAAGATCTTCTAGTCTGGTGCGCACTGCAGCATTTCCGAGCTTTTGAAAGTTGTATGGGTGAAATGAACAGTATCTTGAGGCTAATGAGAAGATTACAGTAGTGATACAGTATAACGATAATGATTATGCTTCTGGAGGCAAAGAGAAGCTGGTTCTTTCGACTGTGACTCGGATTGGTGGAAAAAACAGTTTCTTAGGCTTGGCATGCATCACTATTGGTTGGATTTGTGCTTATTCATTGCAACAAATCTCATAGTAATGTACCTTATCAAGTGGAGGTGCTGTCATTAGTAGTTATTTTACGATTACTCATTAGTAGTCATCAATCCTCTTTTTACTGTTTAGGATTAGATGGATATGGTTCTTCTAGTTATGGTAGTGTGAAATTTTTAAATTTACTTTACACCCTCAATGAGTATATAATGCAAACAACCGAGACCAGACTCATTGGATGAATTCTTTTTGGGTCACTGGAAATTGAGCTTTTGTTTTAAGATGAGAAACCAAAATATGAAACTATTTGGCTATAATCTTTTCTCTTATACATGATTTATCGGCATATAGAATTATGAAAATAGCATTATTTATGAAAACATACGACTGTTTGCGAATTTAATTTGTTAGAATTTCTGTTTACAACATTAGTTAAATTGATACCTTTGCCTTTTACCTGGTAATTCCTGAAAACTTCTTTTGTCCATTGTCACTCATGCAGGCCTTTAGGCGATCCATCTTATATGTCTTGGAACAGATGTCCGTCGGGAACTGAGTGTTATGCTATGTTTGTTCCGATCGGCCAATTCTTAATGTATTAATATTCCATTGTCATATTCTGAATCTTAGCATTTATTCATGGTTTTTTGGATTTTCTTTTCTTTTTTCTGTGTATATTGCCAAAGTTAAGTTGCATGCCATTGCTTTTGTAGGAACGCGCTTTTTTCCCTTAATCCTAGGCAGTATATATTGTGGATAGTAAAAGCAACTAATGAGCAATTTGTTAGTATACATTACATCGTGTATGTCATCTTATAATATCATTTACATGAAAGTGTGGCATGACCTATTTTACGGTAGTTGTTAATCTTCAATGCCCTTGATACAAACTTGATAACCTATTATTAATTCTCATATTTACAGTTTTCATTTGCGCTTTGTGAGGTTAATTACCACTTCCAAGAGACAGAACTCTATATTGTCAAGTTACAAATATGATCTAACTTAAGTGTACATGCATGCCATTCATCACATCCACGCGACACATGTAGTCTTATCCATATGAATACCTTTGCAAATGGGAGCCCAGTATTGAAAAACCTCTCTGTGGGCTGATGGACTTCTATTTGAGAAAGGATCTCAAATGAATGGACATTGAACGTTGAGTTTTCAAACTTCCAAACAATAATAAATCAAATTACTGTTTTTGCAATATGAATGAAGTGGAAGAAAGATAATAGATTTGGTGATCTAAAGTTTGTCAATTAATTCGCATGAAAAATTTTGAGAACCATGATCTACTGTTGGTATGGTAGTGTGACTGTGAGGTGTGTGACGAGTAAATTTTTTATAGGCTGTGGAGATAAAAGTAACCAAGTTTTATGATTTTGATGTGTATAATGTTTTACAGTTTGAAAAAATATTAATTGTAATTGCTATAGTAACAAGATACACACAGTTTCATTATTGTAGATATTAGTCGGATGATGTATATATGCATTTTGGAAGGAGAGGAGGCATGAGAAGAAAGGTAAAGCTTCTAATTATGGGGATGGAAAGGATAAAAATGGACAGATATGAGCAAATGTCTTTTATAGCTATAGTTAAAAAAAAAAAGGAAAGAAGTGTCCAGATTTGGATAAGAGTTGCCAAAATGCAACTTTTATCAATAATATATAAAATAGGATAGCGTTAAGTTTTCCAAATCATTTCTTTTATCTCCTAATCTCTACAAGAAGATTTAAAAGCTCTCTAATTTCTTTCTTCTCATGTCCTTTTTTTCGTCATAATTAATTCTTCTTTTCTTCTTAAACTCCAAAACTAGCTTTATTTGTGAACTGGTTCATTTTAAGACGTTATTACCCGAACTGGGAGTCTAGGTTAAGAAAACCAATAAAAAACATGAACTAATCAGGAGTATTGGAGCAGAAATAGTATTGATGAGAAAAACATCTACAATCCCACGGGAAAACAAAGGCCCCACCACATTTTTTGGTTTTAACTACACTATCAATATTTTTTTTTAAATAAGGAACACGCGCACACACAAGAAAGCACAAGTAAATTTTTTGATTAATTGATAACTTCTACATCTATTCTGCTTCTTCTCATACTTTAGCTTATTCTAAAGAGGCCCAACTAGGTCATGGGACTACAACTGTGCCATAGGGAACTGACAGATACTAAACCGCTATCGGACCAGACAAGTGTACTACGCACCCATATAGATTTGAAGAAGCCAAATGTTAGTGGCAAAGTGATGGAAGACTAGTTTTGAATTCTTAACCTTTCACATCCGAAAAATTTAACTCTTTTGTGGTCGCCAATAGCCCAAGAGTGAAAATGTTTCTTTTCACTTTTTCCATGTAAGTATAAATGGATCTAGTAACAAGTCACCAAAAAGGATACTTTCATTTCTTAAATAGGTTATTACACAAATAATGCTTGGGGACATATAACTAAAAGAGTTATATGGTACTATATCCAATAGGAAGAATACAGTTTTAGTCCTCAATGTTTGACCAGCGAGGTATACTAGTCCCTAATGTTTCGTCCAAAACAATTATGATCCCCAAAATTTCTAATTTTATGCAGATTTATGACAATGGAAAACTACAATATCCAACAGTCAAAATAAAATTGGAGTTAGTTGAAAGTATTGACTTTGTATTTTTTGTTCTTAATGTTTGAAATTTTGATTAATATGGTCCCTTGTGTTTTAAATAGTTATATTTCAAATGAATTAAAATATCAATTAGATTAAATGAATAGCAAATGTGTTCTCAAATCACTATAAAAATCTATAAAAGCAGACCACATTGCCAAAACATTGTCCTTTAGCTAGAAAGCATCCTTTTAGTGCATTAATTACAAACAACTAATAATATATGAATAATATATAAAAGAAAAATTACTCGAAAGAAGAGAATCATAATTTCAATATATAGTAACTTTATTCTAAATGCTACAACATAAAATGTTGCATGACTTGTGAATATGAGCTTCAATTGATTATGATTAGGAATTGTGACTACATTAATAAATTGATTACTAATATGAAGTACACGAATGAAATTTTAGAAAAATTGAATGTTGATTTTCTTGTCTTTCCTTAATGTTACATTAAATCAATTATTTCAATAATAAATTTTAATGCATTTATATTTATATTCAATTGAAAATGATAATTTTTTAAAGAATTTAAACAATTATAAAATGTCTATTTTAGTTGAACTTAATTGATAACGAATTGAAATGCCCAAAAAAAAAAGAAAATATTATTCAATCAACATAATGACATATAGTTGTCCACGTTTTAATGAGATATTTAATTGAGTATTTTATTATCAATATAAGTGAAAATAATAAAATTCTTTATCAATTAGTTATTGATATGATTAGTTGTATCATGTCAAATTTGAGACCAATTATGCAAGAGAGAATAAACATATTAGAAATTAGTAGTATGAATAAGTGCAAAAAAGAAATAAAAAAGGAAGAAGAAAAGTTTATTTAGCTTTTCTTCTTTTTTAGTATTACAATGTTTAGTACATATAACACAATTCTTTTGGGGGGAGGGATGGGTTAGGTGGTAAGGAGGGAGGAAGTATAAGTAGGAGGTTTTGAACCAGGACGTAGAGTTGTTAAATGGAATGAGCAGCTCGAAAACTCGATTGAACTCAACTCGATAAGGCTCAAGCTCGACTCGTTAATTGTGATAAACGAGTCGAGCTCGAGCTCGAGATATGCTCGTTTAATTAACAAGTTGAGTAAGCTCGACTCGTTTGTTATCCGAGTAGCTCGATAAGGAAGGGTATATATGTCATTTCACAATTCAAAAGTATAAAAATTGAAAATTATAGACTTTTATTGGGGTCAATTTGCATGAGCTCGAGCTCTCGGCTCGTTTGTGAAAAAAGAGTCAAGCTCGAGCTCGAACTCGAGCCACATGTCCCATTTGGCGAGCCGAATCTGAACACATTTCAAAGCTCGTCCGCCTAGTCGAGCGAGCTCGAGTTAAGCTCGATTCGAGCTCGGTAGCCAAATGCTCGGCTCGATTAACAACACTATTGATGTGTGCACGAATGGAGATGGTGAAATCCAAGTGCGAGTACCATTGGGCCCCGTTACACGTGCACTGGCCAAGCGCTTCAAAGAGTCTCCCAAGCCCTTGTTCGAAATGTTCAAGACCAACAAGGGGTCCATAGGAACATTGAAGGCCTAGAAGTTGATCATCGGGATGTCTACACATTGATCTAAGCCCATGAGGAGCTAAGCGATGGTTGTTAGTTTGGTTTTAGTCCATTAGCTAGTCTTTTCCAATTCTTTAATTGAAGGCTCGGCCCACCTAACCCTAAGGATGGCCGAACCCTCCCTTTTGTCCTGGCCCTAGGTTTTCATTAGTTCTTTTAGCCTATAAAAAGGCACAAGTTGTACGGTTGAAGGGGTACGTACTTTGATAATAAAAATTCCGTTTTGTTTTCTCTTACAATTGGAGAGTACAATTCCATTAACTTGCTTGGCAAGGGTTCTTGAGCAATCTCACGATTGTCCTTGATTGTTTAACCGGCCTATCCACTAGAGTATCCACCTTGATTGGAGTCGTCGTTCTACCGCCTTGATTCAAGTCGTGTCATCCTTCTTGAGTCTAGGAGTCGCAATCCAAACGGTTGGAAATCTCGCTAGATCCTTGGGCAAACATGCTATGTGTCTCGAAACGCGTTGATCGAGGAGCGTATCAACTACCAGGACGTCTATATACAAATATATACATATATATATATATATGTATGTATGTATATATGTATGTATATATGTATGTATGTATGTATGTATATGTGTGTGTGGGTGTATATATGTATGTATGTATATAATTCTAATTTTCTCAAATTTAAAAATTTTGGAGAGCACATTTACTTTGGTCAAAAATATTAGAGACCAATTTAGCACACAGATCAAAAATTGGGGGACTAAAATTGTATTTCTCCTACATATATCTAATATGATAAAATGAAACTACCACCAGAATATTGAGTGCTAGGAAAGTAAGAGCTTATATGTACAACATATTGGACCAAAAATGCATGAAGATGAGATCTAATTGAAAATGCCAAAACATTTTGTCCCAGTCACAAAATTGTATGTCTACTAAAAAATAGATAATAGACATCAACTTCCCTCAGACTAAAATTCTCTCTTCAACATAATAATTACTGCAAAAGCACATATATAAAGCGTCATACTTCAAAATTACAAATGTAGCATGGCAACATCTAGTTCCTGAACCTAATACTAC